GTGTTAACATATTACATCTAGATATATTCATTCCTTTCTATTGTTTCCACTTTGAGCAGTATGATAATTTGGAGATATCCTTTCTTTAACGCATCTATTTTATTATTGCACTGACTGCCTGTAAACTTGTATTTCTTTTCTTTCATGCATTGAGAAATCTCAATCCACATTTTTTTATGACTAAATAGTAATCTTAATTATAGCTTTATGAGAATATTATTTAATGATTCTTAATTTGGCTTCAGCACATCTGAAGTCTTAAACATTCACACATCTCAAACCAATAGATGCATTAAGATTTTCGTAGTTGTGAAGGACAAATATCATCGGATAATACTTTAAGTAGCAAAGATTAAATATAGATATTGCTCCCTCTTATGGATTCCTTCATTCAGTTTGGATGTGCCTCACTGACGATGACTGCAGTTGCGGTCACTAACACGGACTTCATATTAGCTCTCTATCACATTATTATAAAAATTAATTCAAGATCGGTGCAACTATTACATACGGACATCATGTCAGACAGATAGAGGCGAACATTGGAGTGGGATAGAACATTAATGAATAATTCTTATATGTAGCTCATAGCTTCTGTCTTACAACTCTCTCTTATTCTAACTTACTAACATTGACCGAGGTAGCAATCTCCAATACTGATAAAATAAACATAATCTGTGTGATGAGGAGCGGGTACTACTCAGAGTACTGAACTACGATCCTTTTATGATATACTACAAATTAATAAATATACCAAGATCATTGCAATGTTTACAAACTAATATTAGAATATTATTGGACGGTTAGCCTGAATAATCCTTATCAGACATCACAAATCATTAGAGAATTCTTAAATATTAATTAATCACGATTACTGGCTTCCTCCCATGACTCTATTTTTCAGTTTGCGTATGTACTATTAACAGTGATTGCTGCTTCGGTCTTGTATACTGGTATCGAACTGACTCCATATATTAATATTATAAAATAGATTCAGTAGAGATGGACATCGCGTCATACAAAATAACACTTAGTCTCTATCCTATAACTCCTTCTCTTCATTCTGGTTCTATCTCGGCAGCGGTGACCGCAATTGCAATCTTGAATATCATATTACATTAACGGAAATAGAACATTGTATAACGATTAACGATTCTTAATTATAGCGCTTAGTTTACATTTCATGACTTTTTTATAATCTTACCTTAAGAACATTATTTGTGAACTTATAAAATATCAGACATAGCCGTTAACTCTATTTTTACGACTCTCCCTCATCTCAAACTAATAGATTCACGGAAATTGTCGTGGCTGTTTTCAACGAGGGGCAAATATCATCTGATAATACTTTATATAGTAGAGATTAAGTATAGATCTTGCTTCTCTATGAATCTCTTCATTCATTCTGGATGCGTTTCATCAACAATGGTTGCAGTTGCGGTCATTAACTTTGCGAGCATATTTGCTCCCTGACACATTTCCTAAAAAATAATTTTAAGAGTATAATCGCAGCTATTACAAACGGATATTATGTTAAATGGATGGAAGCGAGGGTTAGAGCGGGATGGAATATTGCTGACTCCATGTACTATAAAATAAATTCAATAAACTCAATAGAAATGAACATCACGTTATACTAAAATATCACTTAGTTCCTATCTTGTACTCTCTTTCACTCTAATTTTTTATCTCTACAATAGTGACTGCAATTGCAACCACGAATATCATTTCACATTAACGGAAAATTGAACACTGTTTAACGATTCTTAAATATTTAATTATAGCATCGGTTTTCATTTTAATAATCTCACCTCAAGTATATTGTTCGATACTCTTAAAATAATATCAATCATAGCTGTTAACTCTATTTACGACTTTCCTTCTTAATAGTAGGGGAGGCTGAGAGGCTAAATGTGGATTTACTCGAGCGTCGTGGGGACCTATTGGATTGTGAAGATTAGATGCTAAAAAGAAAAAAAGGTATATGATGTAGCCGTTTCAGTGGTGGGGGGAGCGTGTACAGACTTTCAAAAATGTAAAAAAAAACAGTGACAATGAAATACTCGAGCGTGTCAGATATTAATAGTGTAAGCGACCCATGTGTTTCTGATAACGGATAAATATTAATCTGACGGTTTGCGTGGTGGGGTTAGCTGTAGGAAGAGGAAAAAAAATTTCCTCGAGCGCGTCAGATTTTCATAGGGTATGTTAATTGGAACCTAGAGAAGTTCCTATTCAAAAAATTGACGATTTGGACGCGATCGAGAGTCATGGCCGATTTTTAAAAATGCAAAAAAAAATCGTGACCTTGAAATACTCGAGCACGTCAGGTTAAGATACAGAGGGTTCAGTTTGATGTCCTGGACATGCTGACCCATAATCTAACGATTATGTGGAGGAATTTCATTAATCTGTCGGTTTGAAAAATTTTTTTTCCATAAATCTTGTAGTATGTTCGAAATCCAAAAAACGCGAACATGTTTTCGATGTATTTTTGTCTCCTGATTATGAATATGACAACAGAAATTGGCGCTCGGCCATATCGTCGCCGCTATTTTAAAAAAACATCCTAAAAACTTGATTTTTTAAATTTTTCTGCATTTATTTTGAAAGATACAAATGTGCTGAAAAAATGGTTGAACAAAAAATGCAGAGCCACATGGAAAAAACGAAATGCTTGAATCTACTATTCAAATAATAAGATAATGTTCCAATGAACTTTTGTAGTTGATTTTACTATCCAAATAGTAGCTTCAACAAAGTAGATAGTGCAGCTTACTATGTAAAAAACTACTAATGAAATAAACTTTTTTTAAGGCTCAATAGATAATCGAAAGCGTTATACGTATTCGAATACGTCCACGTGCTGTGACCAACTGTTATGGCATCATGGCGACGGAAACGGTATGATTGTACTGTAGACGGAAAGTATACGAAGGTGCGAGAGAGTGAATCATAGAGAAAGAGTGAGAAGGGAAGAGACGCGCTGACAGTGCGAGAGAGTAAGAGATAGAGAAAGTGTGGGAAAGGAAGAGACGCGCGGAGCGGGAAGTACACAGTTCTCAGCCGCTGCGCGCACCGCACTTTATTAATGATTTTTGCCACTTCGGCTTGTGTAAATCGTCAGATTATATTATTCCCGTGATCCTTGATTAATTTCCTTCAAAATAAAAAAAAATTTAACCGCGCTCGAGAAAATCCATGTCACGTGTTTTTTTTGCAACTTTGTGACTCTCCCATTTCCTTACGTCACGCTGATATCGTCAGATTATTGAAATGTACACTTTTCTACATGTAATTAACACACCATACCTTAATCTGACGCGCTCGAGTTTTTCGAACGATCAATTTTTTTTTACTAATCTGACGGGCTCTCCTGGACCCCCGGCTCTATATAGAGGTTTAATATTTGGTGGGTGGTACTTATTAGGATGCAAGCTTTCCCCCTTTATGATATTCTGACGCGCTCGAGTAAATCCCAAAATCCCCGCTTGGCCTCCCCTACTATAAAACTTTCACATATCTTAAACTAACTCATACAGATGTTGTCAACGAGGGGCAAATGTCATCTGATAATACTTTATATAGTAGAGATTAAGCATAGATTTTGCTCCTTCTTATGAATCTCTTCAATCAGTTTGGATGCGTTCCATTAACAATGGTTTCAATTGCAGTCATTAATATTGCTTGCATTTCTCAAAATAATTTCAGGAATATGTAAGGAATATGTAAACTGTAGTTATCACAAACAAACAATATGTTAAATAAATAGAAGCGAGGGTTAGAGTGGAATAGAATAATCATTGGATATCTCTTGGGAGTAGCTCGTGGCTTTTGTCCTACAAATCTCCTTCGTTACAATTTAACAATGACTGGGGTAGCAATCTTCTATACTAATAAAATAAATCTGAGTTGCCTGATGAGGCGCTGGTGCTATTCGGAGTTTTGAGTTATGTTTCCTTAATTATTTGCCGCAAATTAATAGATTTGCTAAGATTATTGCAAAACTAACACTAACATGGAACAGAATATTGTCTGATGCTTTGATTTTTTCCAATCCAGCCTTGGCCTCACCTCGCTGGCGGGGATTACGGATGCGGTTTTTAGACAACAGTTCCCTCGTCAAGCATCACAAATTAACAGAGAATTCTTAGGGATTGATTAATTACAGCTTCTGGTTTTCCTCTTATGACTCTCTCCTTTTCAGCATGCATATGGACTTCTTGACAATGATTGCTGCCTCAGTCTTGAATACTGGCTTCAGATCGACATGTGTTAATACTACAAAATAAATTCAATAGAAATGAGCATCACGTTATACAAGATATCACTTAGCTTCTAGTTTTATCTCTACAACAATGACTGCAACAGCAACCTCGAACATCATTTCGTATTAACGAAAAATTGAATCTTCTTTAATGATTCTTAAATAGTTGATTATAGCACTTAGTTTACATTTCATGATTTTCTTACAATCTCCCCTTAAGTATACTATTTGATAACTCTTAGAATATCAGTTGTAACTGTTAGCTCTATTTCACGACTCTCCTTCATGTCTTGATCTTTAAACTTTCACACATCTTAAATTAATAGACTCACGCGGATGTTGTTAACGAGGGGCAAATATGATCAGATAATACTTTATATAGCAGAGATTAAGTATAGATTTTGCTTCCTCTTATAAATCTCCTTGGATGCGTTCCTTTAACAATGGTTGCGGTTGCAGTTATTGACATTGCGTGCATATGAACTCCCTATTACATTTCCTAAAATAATTTCAAGAGTATCATCACAGCTATTTCATTGTGTTAAATAAATAGAAGCGAGGGTTAGAGTGGGATGGAATACTACTAGATATTTCTTGGGAGCAGCTCATGGCTATAAATCTCTTTCGTTATGCATTAATACTATAAAATAAGTTCAATGGAAATGAACACCACATTATACAAAACATCACTCAATAATTTGTAAATATTATTGCTCTTAGCTCCTACCTTGTAGCTCCTCTTCATTCTGGACTACAATGATGGCTTCGTGTCTCACATTGATGGCAGTAGGGAATTGTCTGGCGATTCTTAGATATTGACTGTGGTGTTTGAGGGAGCCGGCGCTGTGTGAGGTTTGTTGGATGAGTGAGAGGAACCCTATCATAAATAGACTACTATAATTATCACGATTGTTAAATACGAACGTAAAACAGAATATTATCTAGCAACTCTTGAATATTAATTATAGTTTTTCTCCTTAGTTTGTACCTTACAACTTTATTCTTCAGATATGACTCTGGCTTACGAGTAATGATTACAAACGATAATCCCAAAGATTGGCTTCTTATTGATTCTCTGTTGTAGTGTCACAATGTAGGCAAATCTCACTCAGCCGATTACTTCCTCAGCTTATACTTATAACTGAATTATAAATTGAACTGAAAAGATATTAATGAGAAATATAGGGGTCGCAGCTCTTGTTGTGACACCAGGCAACATGGCTCTAACACTAATCCCTCTTCCTTCCTTTCTTCCTTGTGCTGGATTTCTGCAGACTGGTGACGGCCCGCTGATGGAGACGAGAGCAGAGACCATCAACCTGAGGATGGTTTTGCGATATACGAGAAGGAGTCCTGTATTTGAACATATGGGATGATACTATAATCCTATAATGGATGGAAGTTGTACATAACGACTTACTGCGGACACTAATCCATGCAAATATTCCTCCCCTTCCTCTCTTATGCCTCCTCTATGGACTGGGCTGCCTCGGATCATCATTGGAGGCTGCAGAGGTTCTTTGACTATTTGATGGTTTGCGGTCCATGTAGATTCTTACGGCGCGGGCCTTCGTTACGGTGGGCGTGGGTATGCGGCGACTGAGGTAGGATCATATATATTGCGACTTATTGTATGCTACGATTCTGTAAGCATACATTAACATGGAACAGAATATTATCTAACTTTATCCTAACCTTTTGCTCTGTATTAATTCTCAGTCACATCATTGAAAATAATCATAGATAGATATAAATCTCACCTGGCTAATATTAATAATTATGAAACATTACAAGCGAGCGAGATGCTCCTGCCGATACTGAAACGTGTACTGCTGCTTAGTGAAACGGACATGGTACATAATCTAAAACTTCTTTATACAGCCTGCTAGCCCCTCGAAAATACGGACGCCCGTGGCGGATCATTCTACCTTATTTCTTTTCTCGAAGATGATATAATTCGATGCCTGGGCTCCAGTTCATATGTAACGTCGACTGAGGGCCACTGTCACCAAGCTTCGATTAAGGGTCTGCGCACAATAGGAGAAATATTAGGAACAGATATTAAATATGAGAATTTTAACCTATCAGAACTGTGTACTATGGAATGTGCGCTTTCTGACAGGTTAAAATTCTTATATTTAATATCTATTCCTAATATTTCTCCTATTGTGCGTAGACCCTAACTAATCGGCCTGGTAACTTTGCAGGCTTTCAACTGAAATTGATGTCGGAGCTGAGCTCACATTAATACTCCGACATCAGTTTCAGTTGGAAGCCTGCAAAGTTACTAGGCCGATTAGTTAATCGAAGCTTGGTGACAGTAGCCCTCAGCCGTTCCATGGAGCGTTTCTCAATAGGTCTGTTCGCGTTGCTTGCACTTTTTGCACTTACCATCTTCGCTTTCTTTCTTTTTAAAGCCGAATATACATCTATCTCACTTTAAGTGCAAAATTATTTGAGGATTTCATGAAACGCGAACAGACCTAATGGCCTGGTTTACATCGTGCACTTGATACGCGTACTATCTAGTTACTTTCTATTAAATTATCTTAATTTAAGCAATGTATTTAAAGAGTGATGTATAAAATTGATACAATACGCATCAAAATGTTTAACTAAATACGTTTATTGTGTATACATTTACATATATCGCTGAAATTAAGATAATTTAATAGAAAGTAACTAGTTAGTACGCGTATCAAGTGCACGATGTAAATCAGGCCAATACGTACATACATAAACGTATGTACGTATATACGTATTGACGGATCAATGCATCGACCAATCACCGACGATCCGTCGTTTTGCTTCCGGAAAACTTTTGTTCCACTATCCCATGTAGCGGATCGAACGTAAACGGATGATTGGAGCACCAATTAAGGAATTTTTCCGCTAGATCCGTTCACAAAATAACCTTAAAAGTTGTTCATAATTGGTGATCCGCTGAACTGTATACGTAAAATGTGTTGCATGAGACAGTGGAAAGAAAATTTAACGGAAGCTAAACAACGGATAACATACATATAGATTGTATAATGTAAATAGTAAACAATCTTAAAGAAAACAATTCAATTAGCTACGTCATTGTTAATTAGTTGCTTCTAGAGTCCTAGATATCAGAGAAGCGCAACCGATGTTCCGCATCCTGATTCGCTGATGACTGTCAGCCAATCATGACATTTATTCATTGGTATTAAAAATGGCTGACTAATAGACGATTGGTAGATTTCATAGTTCGTCTGCAAACGACGCCATTTTTAATACTGTTTTTAGTAATTTTGCGATACTGACTTAAGCCGGTTGCGCTTCTCTGGCCTGGTCCCATGAACTTTCGAAACGTGCGGACGCGGAAAGTGCGGATTGAAAACCCCAAAAAAGAACTAGAGTCCGCATGTTTGCGTCCGTAGATTCCGCAGAAGTGTAATGCCTTATGTCCCATGGTACTAATAATGCGGGCGCGGATATAATGTAGTCCAATCGCAAATAGTATTCCGCTGAAGCAATTGAAACATTCTTCTAAAGCAGCGCTGTGATTGGTGGGCGCATGATATTTTTCCGTATACTTCGAGCCATGGGACATAAGGAAATATAAAATTGCGGAACATGCGTAGAACTGATGTCTGGAAAATTGAAAGGTTATCTCGCTGCTCAACGGACATCACGTAATTCGATAAATGTACGCCGAAAAATTGTTTATTATAATCCACGTGTTAATGAAAAGGCTGAAAAATCGCATCAATGATCCAAGGCGACAAAATTTATTAAAAAGAAAAATTTCCAAATTGTACAGCCTGTATTTAATTGCAAAAAAAAAGGAGGAAAGCAATTTCATTCGTAAGTATTGGGTAAGACCAATATTTACCGAAAGCAGAAGACTACAACAAGGAGCAAGTGATAATTTAATTGAAGAGATGGAAAGTGATGACGTTGAAAAATATCACGAATACTTCAGGATGTCGCCAGAATTATTTTACAAATTATTGGAATTGGTGAGGCCAGACATTGAGAAGCAGTGTGTAGTGCGAGCTCCAATTTCAGCTAAAATCAGACTCCAAATTACACTCCGATACTTATCATCTGGAGATAGCATGAAGTCCTTGTCTTATGCCTTTCGTGTTGGACATAATACAATATCCAAATGCATACATTCCACATGTGAAGCTATATGGAACCATCTTAAGGACTCTGTTTTCATTAAGGATAACGAAGAGAGTTAGAAGGATATCGCAAAAGACTATGAAGACTTGTGGGACTTCCCAAACTGTATAGGGGCAATAGATGGGAAGCATGTAATGATTCAGGTAAAAATACAATACATGATTACGATTCGCAACATTAATTTAAATACAAACCGTATAAATATGATTTCGAGTATCGGTTATATGTATACTTTATTTCTGTACATCTTTGTTAGGCTCCACCAAATAGCGGATCTTCTTTTTACAACTACAAGGGCCATCATAGCATTAATTTGCTTGCAGTTTGTGATGCAAGATACTGCTTCACTATGGTTGACATAGGTGCTAAAGGTAGGGAAAGCGATGGGGGAGTTTTTGCTCATAGCGAAATTGGAAAAAGATTTGAGAATGGCTCGTTCAATCTTCCTCCATCACAGAAAGTAGGAAGTAGTGGACCAGTTGCACCTTTCGTTCTAGTGGCAGATGAAGCCTTTCCCCTAACTACATATATGATGAGGCCATTTCCACGGAGTGGGAACTTGAATATCGAGAAAAAAATATTTAATTACAGGCTCAGTCGAGCAAGAAGAATAATAGAAAGTGCGTTTGGAATACTTGTTGCTCGCTGGAGAATATATACCAAACCAATTTTTGCAAGTGTAAGAAGTGTACGAAAAATTGTGCAAGCGACTGTAGTATTACACAATTTTATTATTCAAAATGAAAAGGAACCGATTCCATCAAATAGTACAATTCGAGAGAACGTACGAACAAACTCTTCTGGACTATGGGATATAAATCCTTATACTGGTAGAAATAAACGTGAGGCTATCGCAGTTAGAAATGCTTTCACCGAATATTTTAATGGACTTGGAGCAGTAGAGTTTCAGTGGCAAAAAGCATTGAGCAATGATTTCTAATTGACAATTTTGTACTATTTATGCTAATAATAAACATTTAAAACAACATATTTCGATTTATAATTTACCTAATAATTTATTTTTATTATTGCATGTACATAAAAGAAGTATATTTCATCGGTCACTGGAACTGATTAGTTTCTTCTTCGAGTAGTTCTGTCTCATCGGCAAGCATAGTTAAAAATTTTATTTGGAGTCTGGCTCGCCTCGAATATGGCAGTTTCCTCAGTCCTTCGCCAAGTAACGTGGTAAACCCGTCGACACCGTCGTTTTGTTTAACAGGTTCTGTAGGTTCACGTAAGGCAGCCAAAACACTTTCGTGAAATTCAGTTTCCACCGAAGATGACAGTCTTTCTGAAACAAATATATTACCATGTAGTGTATGTTTCGTTATTTGTCAAAGTGTGCAAAAAGAAATAAGATCTAATTTAAAGAAGAACAATATTTCAGTATGGTACGAATGTCTGTTTCTGCACTTTAGCTTGAAAATACACTAAAAAGTTTATATACTTGTAATGAACAAGTGCAAAGTACGATCATAAAGATATGATTAAATACGATTATAGACATTTGGCCGACTTCTGGCAACTATTCTTGTGTTTATTATTATATTATATTATATTATGATCTATTTTTTTTATTATATTACGTACATACGCTCATTCATTTATTATATAGGTTGAAATTAATAAACAGACTTTAACCTAACCTATAAAACCTATGCCAAATTATCAACATCGTTTTCAGATCCGATCGAGTTGTTTATGGCGATTCTGCAGTCAGATATGTCCTGTTAAGAAGTGACTTCCATTACTTTTCAGCGCCAAGGATAACAAAAATTCAAAAGTCAGGATATTACTTTTACAACTATTTCAGGGCTCGCTTTTAATTTTAATACGATGTTTCAATTCGATAACTGTGAGAGTAAAATTGAGCAAACAAATTACTGCGGTTAACGGAAGTTGAGATTTCACTTCTGTGACCAATATAGGTTTCGCTTTCAATGTTATTTTCATTACAAGTCTCAATACGATAGCTATGAGTGTGAAACTGAACACTCACCACTGCGGTTAATAGAAATGAAGATAATACTTCTGTGACGAAATTAGATTTCGCTTTCAATGTTAATACCATGAGAAGTACTGTTCGTGTTTGCTGAATTTCACTCTCATAACTATCGTATCGAGACTTGCAACGAAAATAACATTGAAAGCGAAACCTACATTGATCACAGAAGTATAATCTCAACTTTCATTAATCGCAGTAGTTTTTTTGATCAATTTCACTCTCATAGTTATCAAATAGAAACTTCGTATTACATTAAAATTAAAAGCAAGCCCTGAAATAGTTGTAAAAGTAATATCCTGACTTTTGAATTTTTGTTATCCTTGGCGCTGAAAAGTAATGGAAATTAATTAAATTAATGTTGTTTACATTATTTATGATCTAAACATACTTTTCTTTGAGGTATTTCTTCTGCAGCAATTTGACATTTGCGCCGAACTTGATGCAGAGCTGCTTAAGTCTAATCTAATTGGTGGGGAAGTCAGAGATTCCATTGCATCAACTGTATCTACGTTTAATGCGATGTCACATTCGCCCTCTTTCTCGTTTCTTGCAGTTTCTGTGGTTGGTAAACTGGTACAAGTTCTAAGTGGAAAATAAAACATATTATTGTAGGTGATATTTGTTTTCATAGTGATATCCACACTGCAAAAAATATTTCTTGAAATTTAAGAAAAATGTTGGATGTATATTTCATAAATCTTACCAAAAAGTCAATTATAGATTAATTATCATGTTGATCGAGTTCATTATGACATTTTTAATCATACGTATTTACAGTGCATGGTACGTCTTTGTAACATCGTAAACTTTGAGAAAATCATCACTCGATAATTTTAGATATATTGAAATAAAAAAACATGCATATTTTTGTATTATACTAAATATAATATACGTATATATATATTTTTCATATTCCTGTAGAATATGAAAAAAATATCCCGCAAAATTTAAAATTATTATTGTAAATCTTATTATTGTAAATCTTCATATATGTATATGTATATATATATATAGGTAGTGGGCAAATTTTGAAATCGTTTTGGAGTTTGCAGCAGATCCGCTTGGAGTGTATTGGGTGTGTGCTCGATGTGCCTTCACAAAACGGTCCCGTAAATATCTCTACCTGTCTTTCAGCTCTTTGATGTTTAAGACACCTAAAAAGTAAACATAATTTTACATGCACACCAATAATTACGAGTAATTGGCACTTGACAAAAACTGAAATTCATCATACCTACCAGTTTCGTCTAAGACATGGCTTGACAGGTAATTTTGTATTTTAATTTAAAATATACATATTAACATACCTCCCATCAAATTGTACACTTCCTGCCACTGGTCATTTTTCTTTAACTTAGATCTCTCCTTTGCTGGAATATTGCTGTCCCACAGAGCTCTTTTGCCAAACATAATGCTTATCAGCAATTCGTCCTGACTCTGCAAACTTTCAGACACGATTGCATCATTATCCTCGCAATTGTTCATTTCGGCATCCAAAACTTTGTCTTGCTGATGTACAATTTGCGACTTGTGTACTATAATATAACATATTATTAAGTATACATTATACGATATTAAATTTATTTTTTCTATTTTTCTCTTTGACAGATTTAACTACATGAATGAGGAAACTTTTATGAGTACCTTAATTAACGTCTATTAAAACATTCTTCAATATTTTTGCACTCGCAGTCTTACATACAAGAATAAGAAGAATATTAGTAATGTATACATTACTGACAATTAAACAATATTCTTTCTTTGAAACTCAAATGCTTCTTTAAAATCAACTAGTTTTTCTTGATGACTTTGAATTAGAATGAATATTACAATCTGAAATTGTTATTTTTTTAAACTATACATTTCTTTAATTTATGTATTATTCACCATGTGCACCTTGTACATACACAGTAATAAATACCTGTACAACTTTATTTATTTACGCATCTACCGGAAACATAAAAATTAACCACGAACGTCCACTTTAGATTTGAAAAAAGGAAAAAGCGTTCGTACCGATAGATTGTCAAATGCCTAAATCCATCCGAATCAATATGATGTTTTGATAGTTGACGGAAGTAATTACATAAAAGGCTTATTGCTATTATTATTGTTATTAATAATACAACTTACTCAGAATAACGACACCATCCTCGCCAATTTGGACTGCATGCGTTTCTTCATTGAACTTTTTGAAGCACTTGTGCCATAGTAGGGTATCATCCGCCAAAATAAGCCCACAGTATCCACACTTTTTTAACTGTACAAAGTTTCAATTAAATTAGTCTATGTATAAACATCGGTGTGAGCGAAGATTTTGTTTTGCGATTTGTTATTAATCTCAGCATACGTACTTTGAAGTATATGAAAAGTTTTCATATGACGATACTTAATATCCTGTTTTGGGGCGATCAAAGATTATTACCGAGTACAAATTTACATACATAGTGAGGGAGTGCGAGAGAACGGGACATAGGGAAACCCATATATTCCAGATATATTAATCGCAAGTGTATGATTTCATGTACAGACAATAGTACTTTTTTGAAAGAAATTATGAGCAAATATTATATTTTTCACAAAGCCTGAATAATTTTATTTACAACACAAAAAGAGGTTCTCATGCAGATAGGAAGCAGGCGATTGCTTCTTTTTTTTATCTTAAATGTGCTCTTTACGGCTGAATTTAAGAGGATTTACAATTTTAATTAAGAGTTTGTGTATACAATTTTAGGTTAAACATAGGTTTTCCTATGTCCCGTTCTCCCGCACTCACCCTGTAGATATTTACCATTGCGTACAAATAACTCTTGGAGTTTTTTAAAGATGAGGTTGACTTTCACAGACAGGTTTGCAATTTGCACAATAGCCTTCATTTTGGTTGCTGTCAGAAAATAAAAACGATTTTTTCACAATCCGTAGACACCGACCATAGTCCGCATCGTCCGCATAAAATCATGCGGAACATCAGGAATAATTAGTGCGGAAAATGCGTGGTAATATTTCTCACTAGAATCTAGTTATTTTTCGATTCGCACTTTCCGCGTCCGCACGTTTCGAAAGTTCATGGGACCAGGCCCTAAGGGCCACTGTCACCAAACTTCGATTAACTAATCGGCCTGGTAACTTTGCAGGCTTTCAACTGAAATTGATGTCGGAGCTGAGCTCACATTAATACTCCGACATCAGTTTCAGTTGGAAGCCTGCAAAGTTACTAGGCCGATTAGTTAATCGAAGCTTGGTGACAGTGGCCCTAACTGGGCTCTAATATATGATTCCGAAAAGTATGTATGTATGTACGTCGGTTACTAAAAAATTGCAACACTTTTTAATTCGATGGTTTTCGGAACTCGCAAAAATTCTGACAGAGCAGTCCAGCATCTCTGATCGTTTATATTCAGTGGTTATGATAGGTTACGAAAATTGTCAAAGTGATGCAGAATCGTTTTGTACACGGTGAAATAAAAAAAATGTATTTGGCGCAGTGAAAAATTCTTAAGATATCCTTCGGATACCATAAAATATATCGTGGTAAGTAATAATAATAAAGTAAATGCTAAATTTGTTTTATAAATTTATTTATATTTTCAAAAAAGTAACATGTTTATTATTATTAACAAGAGTCTTTTATACATAATTTTATTTATTATTATTAAGAATTTGGGACGATCAATTCCAGCGAGCCTGTGATGTCAAGGCAAGTGGAAGAATTACACTTACGCAGTCCTTTGCCTACGCATCTGCCGCCGATGTCACGGGCTATCAGAAGCACTTCTAGGGGAACAGGAGAATCGACTGAGTTGCATCTAAATTATGTATTAATATAATCATTTATTTCTTGGTATTGTATTGGTGAAAAATATTAATAATGGTATTAAATATTTAGAAAGGCAGGAAACTGAAGAAGGAGAAGGCAAGGAAAGAGAACAAGAGGGAAAAGAGGCAAAGAGAGAAGCGAGGAGAGAGAAGAGGAAGAAAAAGAAAGCAAAGAAAGAAACGGACGGTAGTAGCTCTGGCGATAGTAATAGCAGCAACAGCAGTAATCAAATACTAGCAATAAAAGATTAAATTATTACAGATGAAAATATCTTTTCATGATCTTTTCATGTTGGAATGATCTTTTGCTCCAGACCCCGCTGATAACACAAACGTAATGGCGTGCATTCGTCTTTTGCGTCTTCTCCAAATAGCAGCAACAACAGTGACGAAGAGATTTGGGTGCAAAAAGAGCACTATTCCTGATAAGCCGAAACCAAAGAGAGGCACGAATTCGGATGACAGTGGAGACGATGGTACGGTTTGGCGTATGAGTTACGTCATGAGTGGCAGCAGATAATGCACTTAAATCATTGTTTATTCTGTTATTAATATCAATTATTAATAAAAGAATTGAGCATGTTTGTTTTTTAATAGTAATTGATAAATAACTTTAATATTCTGTTTATTTATCAATTACTATTAAAAAACAAACATGCTTAATTCTTTTATTAATAATTGATATTAATAACAGAATAAACAATGATTTAAGTGCATTATCTGCTGCCACTCATGACGTAACTCATACGCCAAACCGTACCATCGTCTCCACTGTCATCCGAATTCGTGCCTCTCTTTGGTTTCGGCTTATCAGGAATAGTGCTCTTTTTGCACCCAAATCTCTTCGTCACTGTTGTTGCTGCTATTTGGAGAAGACGCAAAAGACGAATGCACGCCATTACGTTTGTGTTATCAGCGGGGTCTGGAGCAAAAGATCATTCCAACATGAAAAGATCATGAAAAGATATTTTCATCTGTAATAATTTAATCTTTTATTGCTAGTATTTGATTACTGCTGTTGCTGCTATTACTATCGCCAGAGCTACTACCGTCCGTTTCTTTCTTTGCTTTCTTTTTCTTCCTCTTCTCTCTCCTCGCTTCTCTCTTTGCCTCTTTTCCCTCTTGTTCTCTTTCCTTGCCTTCTCCTTCTTCAGTTTCCTGCCTTTCTAAATATTTAATACCATTATTAATATTTTTCACCAATACAATACCAAGAAATAAATGATTATATTAATACATAATTTAGATGCAACTCAGTCGATTCTCCTGTTCCCCTAGAAGTGCTTCTGATAGCCCGTGACATCGGCGGCAGATGCGTAGGCAAAGGACTGCGTAAGTGTAATTCTTCCACTTGCCTTGACATCACAGGCTCGCTGGAATTGATCGTCCCAAATTCTTAATAATAATAAATAAAATTATGTATAAAAGACTCTTGTTAATAATAATAAACATGTTACTTTTTTGAAAATATAAATAAATTTATAAAACAAATTTAGCATTTACTTTATTATTATTACTTACCACGATATATTTTATGGTATCCGAAGGATATCTTAAGAATTTTTCACTGCGCCAAATACATTTTTTTTATTTCACCGTGTACAAAACGATTCTGCATCACTTTGACAATTTTCGTAACCTATCATAACCACTGAATATAAACGATCAGAGATGCTGGACTGCTCTGTCAGAATTTTTGCGAGTTCCGAAAACCATCGAATTAAAAAGTGTTGCAACCTTTTAGTAACCGACTGTACACCCACGGTAATTAATTCTGTCCCTTGGAAATTTTCACAAAATGAAAAGTGACCTCCTTTCTGTATTAATTATCACTATTCATGCACGATAAGGTTCAGTCGTAACGTTAATCGTGCATAGATTGTGACAACTAATATAGAAAGGTGGTCATTTTTTATTTTGTGAAAATTTCCGAGGGACAGAATTAATTACCGTGGGTGTACAAGCTACTGTTTGTCTTCACAATTTCATGATGACGAGAGATAATTATTTTGACAATAAATTTGTAGATCATGCGAATTGCAATGACATCATGGCGGATCTTCTTCTTCTTCTTCTTATTTATTTAATGGCTCTCGCCTCCAAACAATAGGTAGGTCGATACGGCCAGATCACGTCAAAAAATGAATATCGCATCAAAATGTCTGTCGAGCGGATGATGCAATGCCCGCGAGAATGGCGTTGCTCGACCGGTATCTGGGCGCCTGCGTCTACGACGTCGTCACGTCGCAACAACGCGCGTCATGAGAGCCCGAGTCGTCGAAGGGTGCAAGATGACGAGCAATCGAGACGAGCACAACCGCGGACACGCATCGAGTAATTCAAACTTATGGCACCACGCCTCCCAAATAATGGGAAGGCGATACTGCCAGATCACGTCTTAAATGAAAATCGTTTATAATGAAAATCGTACGAAAAAATTATAAAAACGAACAAAAAGGACAAAACAATGCACGGTCAAAGTCGGCAACACTTTCAAAAATATACAGTAGAAAGCACCCGACAGAAACGCGTCCGCCTCTGCCGAGTGGTTCATCAGAACTCTGACATCATGGCGGATGATAACTCGTTAACTCGTGACGCGGACGGACGACGTGACGCGTGACGCGCTCAGTGGAAAAGTACCATAAGAATTGACCAATTACAGTTGAATATGAAGAGAATATCCAACTATGATTGGAGGATTCTTACAGCTACGATCACTTACAATTACGTTTACGCAATTATAGTTATCATGGGCCTTCTACAATAAACCATAATGCCTAGTTCACACTGGATGCGATGGGCGATGAACGACGAGCGATAACCAATAAAAGCTTTGCTTTATCTCACACGACGATGTAAAGAAGAGTTCTTATTGGTTATCGCTCGTCGCGCATCGCTCATCGCGCCTATGTGAACTAGGCATAAGTCATAAATCAGAAGTCAGAAGCTAGTTGCAAGCGAGTCAGTAATGCGTCATAAGATAGTAATAAGTCGATAGTCCGTGACGAGTGGAGATGGCCAAATTCCATCTCTTCTGACTTAGAGCTTATGGTGCGTTCAGCGGACTCAACAGTTAAGTGAGTGCTCGCTGTTATTGGTGTATTCTTTTAGATCACCCAATCAGAATTTTAGATTTAGAAGAATATACCAATAATAGCGAGCACTCACTCAACTGTTGAGTCCGCTGAATGCGCCCTATGATTACGTTATGACTGACCAATCAAAAAGCAGTATGTGTCTGCCATTAGGTGCATCCATAAGCACTAAAAAAAAACCCATGTCACACGTCCGTGACGTTGGCACGTTACCAGGCCCGGATTAAAGAGTTGACTCCGAACTAAAAGTTCGAAAATGTCCTGTTTTATCGACATCAATTAAGTTCGGCCGTCTCTCCAGCATCGCCTTAATAAGTATTCGCTATACAAGAACTTATAATTTTTGTTTATTAAACAGAAAAGTTGAAAATAGTAAAAAATAGTTTTAAAAATCGTATAAAAATGTTTTAAAAATGGTTTAAAAATATTCAAAAAATAGTTTTTAAATAGTTTTTAAATTATTTAAAAAGTGTTTTTTTTTTTAGCTACAATCTAATAAAAATGTCAATTAATTATCAATGGTTAGTAGAATGTACTAACATAATTCAGCAACAATTTAAAAAACGTAGAGAAGCTGAGTTACTTACAAGTATAGTAATATTAATAAATGGAAGAATATTAAAAGCTAAAAAAAGGAGAAAATTTTGGATGGCAGAAATATTTAAAAAAAGACAGCAATATGGTTTCTACAATGCAATACTTCCTACAGTAAGACTAGAAGATAGCCGATTTCAAAATTATACAAGACTGACTGCAACACAATTTGAAGAATTGTTATCAATAGTAGGAAATGATTTAAAAAAGCAGTATGTTGTGCATGAACCAATAAATTCAGAACAACGTTTAATTCTGACTTTAAGGTATACATATTTAGAAACAAAGATATTTGATTGTAAAAATAATATAAATAAATAATATATAATATAAATATAAAAATAAATATAAATATAAAAATAAATACAAATATAAATATAAATATCTATAGATATCTTGCCTTAGGAGACAGTATGACATCTCTGTCATATCAATATTTAATATCTGTGAGTAGTATTTCGAATATTATACGTGAAACGTGTACATATATATGAGAACGTTTATCTCCCATTGTACTTCCAAAATGTGATGAAGAACATTGAAAAGAAATTGCAAACGATTTTGCAAATAAGTGGAACTTTCCTCACTGCGTTGGTGCGATTGATGACAAACACGTTGTTATTCAAGTAATCTCTATATTAAAAGATACATATACACATATATTAACTCTTAAATTACTCTTACTCTTACACTTACTCTTATTTATTCTTACTTGTATCTGTGTATTTAGGTATATGTTTTAACACTGCTCATTAACATATAGTCTAATTTAATTGATATTTTTTCAGTGTCCTAGTAATGCGGGATCAGAATATTATAATTATAAAGGCAGTCACAGTATTATTTTACTTGCAGTGAGTGATGCTAATTATATCATATGCTACGTTGACTTTGGAACTCCTGGAAGACAAGGTGATGCAAACGTTTTGAAAAATAGTTCCTTATGGCAGTTATTAGAGAGGAAAGAATTTAATCTTCCACTACCTGAACCATTATATGAAGATGGTCCAATTTTACCATATGTATTGGTAGGAGACGAGGCATTTCCATTAACTGATTATATGATGCGACCATATCCAGGAAAAGATAAAATGACATTAGAGAAACGTATCTATAATTATCGTCTATCTCGAGCTAGAAGAACAGTGGAAAATGTGTTTGGCATTTTAGCCAGTCAATGGCGACTTCTAAGACGACCAATTTTAGCAAATACTTCGAACGTTATAAAAATGATTCAAGCAATCGTCTGTCTTCACAACTGGTTAAGAAAACATGATGTCGAACAAAAAATTTATATTACACCTGGATTTGCAGATCGGCCTACAATAGAAGGAAATATTGAGGAAGGTTCTTGGAGAAAAGATGTTAAAGAATGCTCATTTGTAAACGTTAAGCGTACTCCAGCAAAAGCGTATTCTTTACGTGCAGCTAATATTCGAGAAGAGTTCTGTACATATTTTAACGAAGAAGGCGAAGTTGGCTGGCAAAATACTCAAATTTACAAACAATTATTTGAAATATCTGTATTAGAGTATAATATTATAGTTATTATAGTTATTTTAGTTATTATAGTTATTATTATTATTATTAGTATTATTATTATTAGTCTTTTTAATAAATTAACATCAATATATTTTAAAAAATAGCAACATTTTAGCAACATTGCAACGTACATTCACAGTTATTCGTACGTTATTAAGAATTATGAACGTTAAATGTACTATCATAAAAGAATGATAGTATTGCAAACACATCACAAAATTTGCAATGTGGCAAACGGGACGCTCTCATTACAAAAGTACGCAATTATTCACATTCGTATCGTTCTTCCCTTGTGATATCTTGTAGAAATTTCAGTAAAAGTTTATCCCGCTTTTCTGAACTGAGGTTCCGCAATTTTTCTTTTATATATAATAGCATCCCATCCAATGCAGTAAGTTAAGGTAATTTTGGTAAGCTTATTATAGGCGTTTCTTTCTTACAAAATGCATCAGCTATACGAATCATTGATGCATTAAAATCATCGTTGCTTTTAGCGTTATAACCTTTATTACGATTTTTACATGACTGATCTAAAACAGAGAGAGATTGTTTAAATATTTTTTTAAATATTTTTATATAAGTAAATACCTTATTCAAAAGAAATTAATTTAATTACCAAATTGTAAATATAAGCTCTACAATAATATTGATAGTGTTTCGGCCCAGCAATCGGGTTTGCACCAGCCTGGGTTGGATTAATAACGTTTCGTATTCTCCTACTGGTAGAGCACGTAACGTCGTCAACCACAATAGCAGAGATTAATTCAATTCAGGTTGATGTAAACTCGATCGGGCCAAAAACGCTATAAATCATTCATTACCTTTATAGTCTTCAACGACATTGTCTGTGCTATCTTCAGACAAATTAAACTCATTCATTGGAATATTAAAAACGGCCGCAACATTAGAAATGGAACTATTAAAAAAATTCGTTACAAAATCATTGTAAAATTTATAATATATATTAACAAATGTACATAATAATTGATATATACCTTTTGCATGTTGATACTGATCGTAAGAAGAACATCAACTCTAAATGTTTCCAAGACTTTTTCGAAATTCGACTTGATCCACTGGGCTTTTTTTCTTCAGCTATTACTTTACTAAAAGTATCTTTCAATGTTTTCCACCGTTTTTTTGCCTCTTCAGGACTCATAAGACCTAAAATTTATTAAAAATTAAACAATATAATACTAATATAATACAATGTAATAATAAAATTACATAAGAATTATATGTTTGAACCCTAAGATCCGCTTCTACCGAATATGGGAGTTCTCTTATTTATTTAGAATTATTAAAACTTACTTTCTAAATATTCAATATATTAAATTTTATGATTCAATTTTATATAAAATAGTTACCGTTAAGAGCTTCTGCAATTTCCTTCCAAACTCTGCAATTTTATGTCTTCCATGAGCTGCTAAAGGTAGGGTATAATCATATATAGGAGGTCGCATTTTTACTTCTTCAATTAACATTTCTTCTAATACAGTACTATCCGCTTTGTCATATATAACTGTTTAATCTTGTGAAATATTTTTTGAGGTAACACATTCACTTTTAGATGAACTTGACTGAGATAAATCTTCATTACTTATTTGTATTTGAGTAGATGAATTATTTGATATTTTTTTCAGCAGTAGTACTTGCTCTATACCCTCTCATGTCATTTTCGCTAAATATTCTCCGTTTTCTGTAATATTATACAAAATATTAGCTACAATTTTAATTCTTTTAAATATATTAATTGTTTTATTATAGGATTATTATAGAACCGCAGATTTTTAAAGTGAAAAAATGCGAGAAAAATAAGCTAGACAGTTATGAATGTCAACACAAAGTCGTTTTTGGATATTTAATTGTATATAATGTTAGAAAAAACTAACAAAAAAAAAACGAAATGATCCTGTTAAAAATAGCATGTCTGCGGTCATCCGATTATTATCATATAATTTAATTAATTAGGTCTTACGATTAGTAGGATAAAATATTTTATTATCTATTGTTACACTGTCTTGAACACATTTGTGATGTGTAATACCTTTCTCTTCTACGTACGACATGCAGACTCCACAAGTAAATATATTTGACGACTATAAAATTAATATCACAAATAATATACAATATGATTTAAATGCAAGAAAGGTAAATAAAAACAGGATTGAAAGTCTCATGAAAAAACATACAAAAAGATTTATAAACAAAATTAATATTAGGCCTGTTCTCTTTCTCTGCACTGAGAATAAGAACAGGTTACCTATATCATGGAACAAAATCGGAATGGATTCCGATTGGAATTGTTTAATTATTCCCTAGATTTCTATTGTGGTTTTTACAGAAAACGGAATAATTCCGATCGGAATCCATTTCGACTTTGTTTTATGATATACCCAGCCTATTTTATTAAATTAGGTTAGAATCCAATGTACACTGCCAATAGTGCAATTTAGTGTGTATAGTTCGCATTATATAGTGTAAATAAACATAAATTTTTATTAGTATATGTTAAAAGTAATATATAACAGTAATTTATATTAAAATATAAACTTTATTACTTACCATAGTATTAGCCAGTGTTAGCATTCTTGAGCACTCTTTAGGGTCTGAGCACAAGCACTGCCGTAACATTTTACGACACACTTAAGTTGTAGACATATATAACGCACAAGCTTTGGGGTATCGGCGTATGACGTGTTTATGTACATTATTGCCATATCTTTCGACAGTGTGCATAAACACGTCATACGCCGATACGCCAAAGCGTGTGCGTTATTTACGTCTACAACTTAAGTGTGTCGTAAAATGTTACGGCAGTGCTTGTGCTCAGACCCTTAGCATCAAGAAGCTAGAATCAGAAAATTCAGAATCATGCGCAACAAGTTTCTGCGCATCGCCACGTGATGCTACCATGTAATGGCACCACAGACTTCTAGAAGTCTGTGAATGGCACCTTTACCTTACCCTATGCGTTCGGAAAGTCCGTGCTACTCTGATCGAGTTTTACGTTTACCCATAGCCAACCTTACTCTACTCGACGAGTAGATTTTCGAACGCACCGTTCCGGGGTTCAGCCCATGGCACAGTGATTGGCGCATCCAATTACTCCGTATCGAATCATGCGCCTCTCCTTCGAAATAATGATTTAGAAAAATTGAATCGGTACGATTATGTGAAAAATTGAATCAATTCCGAAAGAAGAAATTAAAGAATCGCTGGAGAATAGATTCTTCAAGAGCAAAAAGAATCGATTCTCGATTCATCGATACAAGAACTGGCATCACTAGTAAAATATCGAGACATACTCCGTCTGACGCCTGCGTATTAGAATCAATTTCGTTCCTTCAGGGCTAATGTCACAAAGCTTCGATTAACTAATCGGCCTAGTAACTTTGCAGGCTTCCAACTGAAATTAATGTCGGAGCTGAACTCACATTAATACTCTGGGTGCGTTCCGAGTCGCGCATGAAGCGCGTAGACTGCATAGAAAGTCGTTCCGAGTTAACTATTGCGCGCTTCGAAAGCGCTTCGAGAGTACTTGAATTCCCCAGATTGTACTAACCGTACTGAATTCTTAGCACTCCACTCAGCGCATTGACTGCTTCTCTTTCGACCTGAGGCAGTTGATGCGTCTGATGCGTTCATGCGGTCTATGCGCATGATTTGTAATTCGGAACGAGCAACGAGTACCGGACAATACAACAATGAACGGACGAATATTTGCGATTTGCG